ATAAACAATCATTTAAATAATTCTTCACAAAAGTTGGGTCAGATAAATATTTTTATAGAAAACAGAGCAGTGACATTTTATTACTTGGCTTTGCAGGTTGATGGTTTCTCTGACCTTCACATCTCCGTGTCGGTTTTCTCATAGCCCGTCTTACTTAAGGACAGTAAAATACCACCTTACATTTTTTAAGGAAGCACACAGGACTTCAGTAATGATCAAAGGAAGCCCTAACCCAGCAAACCTTGGTTTGAAAGCTTTCCGTCCTGCTGCATGTTTTGAGAAACACCCAGAAGCCTGGTGTTTCTGCTGATTGTGGAAACTGCAGCAGTAAAAACTCCAAGTGCTCATCTTAAATTAGGACTCTCAGTGCTGCGTGTGAGATCTATGTATTTATATTCGTTTTTATGACATTCGGAAGTTCTGGTGGCTGCTTTGATGTTCCTCCACTAATATAGCAGAGCAAAAAGCCTGGAAAACAAAAGTTATTTATTGGAAATTCTCACGTCAAAACTTGAAGTAATTGGTTTGTTCTAGCCCACATGATTCAATATTCCGAATTCCCTAACGACCTGCTCCCAGGGATATCTGCATTTCTAAATTCGTTTTCTGTTGCCAACACATACTAACTTAGTGATTGAAAATGGCAGCTGAAGTGCTTCGACGGCACATTAATTTTTCTCTAAGTAGCCCAACTGTGTCATCTAAATACAGAGAAATCTTATTTTCACCACATTTTACACCTTTAGAGATTGGCCAAATTCAAGATCATATTAAAAAAAAAATGAAGAACAATGTTTTCAGGGTAATTTTTGGATAATCACTAATAGCTCTCAAGGATGATATGTCTTTTCCATAACATATTGCACTCAAAGACACCCCTACCCAATACTACAGTACTTCCTTGGCTAGTGAACAAAGCAGATAAATAAGCTATCATAAAATGATTCCAGGGCGATGCTCTCCATTGGAAAGGCACTAAAAACTCATCTTGATCTGAAAACAATTACCACCCCATTAAACAAAAGACTAAAATATTTAAGCAATTAATGGTGGGTTTTCCCCTCTAAAATTGTAACATTTGATAGAATTCATTTCCACTGTTACAAGCTAGGACTCCTAATTATTAGTAAATAATCCTTCCTCCAAGGAAAGAATGTCAGTTCCTGGTCAAAAACAAACATCACAGGTAAAGGAAAGAAAAAGAAAAGAGAAGAGAAAAGAAAAGAAAAAAAGAAGAGAGAAGAGCTTACAATTTTCAACCATTTTCTGTTTATCTTTAAAAATCAGTTTGGAAAAACTAAAGTGAAATAAATGCAAGTTATTTTCCCCAGAAGAAAAGAGTTCTCTCTTGACCTCTCTGCCCTCCACAAATGCCCCACAGACTAGATTCCTATTTCTTTCTTCACTTAAGTTCTGAGCTGCTAAAAGAAATTATTTTCATCTAGCTTTACATTGTGCTTTACAGATGGGGGTAAATTTAAACTGGGTGTTTTTACTGAAAAACAACTTTAAGCTAAACAAAAAGGTGTCTAGGGTTTGACAACTTTTAAAATTACAAAACTGTATCTACACAAAATTGCCTCTATTTAAACACAAGTCATAAAATTTGAGTGTCACTTAGAAACGTTTTCCAAGCTGATACTTGTATCAAAAGTTGTGTTAATAAAGCTTACAAGAGCTTTTAATTCTCGACAAGATCTATTTCCTGTTTATTCCCTATTAATTTAGCAAGTATATAAAAGTTTCCGATGTGTAGCAATGAATGTCTTATCACGGAATAGCTATTGTTGTATAGACTAATTGGACACCCTTCTAATTGTAATAATAGAGCAAAGTGCGTCTTAGAAAAGCGTTAGGTTAGACAGTAAGGCTTTCTCGGTGTTCTACTATGGGCACCCCACGACAGGCAACAGAGACTACCCTAAAACAAAAGGTCACCGTTTTCCTAGGAACAAACCATTTATCAACAGAAAATGATTGTCTCGCCTTCTGCGGGGGCTCCTGAGCAGCACTGTTTTTTAGTTCACATAATTACAGAACAGAGAAAGTTCTCCAGCACAGCCTGAACCCTCCTTCCAGCTTGCACCCTTTACAATTCCCATTGCCCTTTGGGCCTCGGCTTGGAAGCAAATGGAAGACGGGCTGCAGTTTTCTCAATTGAGCTGAGGCTAGGAAACCTTTGATATGCTAATCGTCCCCTTCAAACGGTAAGAATTCACACTTGCATTAATTCAAACAATTTGTGCAGCATGAGAAATGGCACCTCTTTTAGAGCAGAGCAACAATAGGGGAGATGCGAGCCGTCTGAACGAACCCAACAACAGAGCATGCGTTCCTGGGGATTCCATCACGCACCAGTTTGTTGGCCGGTGCAGGCAGGGAAGACAAAGTTGGAAAACACACCTGAACTTAGGCAGATTTTCTTGGAAGGAGTCTCCAAGGATACTTAGGAAACACCAAAGGACACTACATTTAGATTTACCTTTCGCTAGGCTCCAGACAGTTCTAACCAACCTGGATGCTGTCACGGTCACCCCCAAACACTTCTGGATTTCTGTGGACGAATTAGTGCCTCTTTAGCGCCTGTTTCTTAAGGTTACGCGCCACGGACCCTGACTTAGCAAGCGAACTCCCACAGGCAATCATTGACCAGACGGGCGTGCCTTTCTTCAAGGTTGGAACGAGAGGTGGGCAGCGTCAACTCGGAGGGGCAGGCTCGAGACTTGGACTGCAGCGGGAGAAATGAATGAAGCAACTACGGGGAACGCGACGCCCCTGGAAAGGGGGTGCGAGCAGGGGAACCCAGCACCGCGAAAATGCAGAAGATAAAGCAGCGAGGGGGTGGGGAGAGGGGGCGAGGCGCCCTCGGAAACCTGGCCTTTGTAACAGCAACCATCTGGTTGGTGCTAAGGCTCAGGCGCGCCCAGGCTGCCTGGAGAAGCTGCTAAGCAGCCTGACACCTTTCATGAAGCAGGAGGAAAACATTTCCTCCGTCTGAATCTGAGACAGCAGTTTCTATCTGAAGGAGCAGAATGAAGGGGCCAGGAAAGGGGGAAAAGGAGGGACGGCGGGAGGGGGAGGAGTCCCCACACGACGGGGAAAGGCTAAAACAGGCAGCGCAGGACGCTTTTAGAGGACAGGCTGAACCGAGGGCTACAGACAGCCAGGAAGACGCACGTGCCTCGGCCTCGGCTCGGGGACAGCCCCGCACTCGCTAAAAGCTCCAGCGATTTTTTTTTTTTTTTCTAACCCAAACCCCGCAGTTCAGCGAGGAGAAAAAAACTTTGCCGGTCCCAAGTGCAGGGTCCTGCATACTCAGGGACGCCTTCTCGCTGTGGATCTCCCTCGTCCGCGTGGCGGCGGGTCTCAGATCCAGGAGCTCACGCCCGCGACCCCGAGGGTTCCCCTCTTTGCATCGCGCTCCCCCCACGACTCCTTCTCCCTGCTGTTTTCAACCTGAGGCTCGCACTGGACCCGGCAGGCTCCCCACCCCAAAGGCAGCCGGGAGCCCACGCCCCTTAACTTCTTCTGCAGGCCCAGCGCGGCCCGCTGCTGCCCTCTCACTGCGGGTCCGGGAGATTCTCTGCCCTGGCTCTGGCCCGCCGAGTCCCCGGGCCCCGCCACGCTCGGGCTCCGCGGCCGGGCTCCCCTGGCCACCGCAGCCCGCCGCCTCTAATCGCTGCCAGCCTCAGCGCCGGCGCGGCCACAGCTGGCTGTGCTCTGCTCTCATCCTCGCCCCTCCGCGCCACCTGACCAACAAGAAACGACGGCCCGCAACAACTCATCCGAGCCCCCCCCCCCCCCGCCCCCTTCCCAGGGACTCGCTCCCAGCGACAACCCACGGACGAATCCCCGCCGAGCCTGGGGCCCAACACCTGGAGCGGGACAGCCCGGCGGAGGGCTCACGGCAGTCCCCTCCCGAGTCCCGCTGCGTAAAGAACCAAGGGCACCTTCCGGTCCCCAAGCTTTTTAGGACTCTCCCCTACCCCCCCCCCCCCCCCCCCCCCCAAAAAGCAAGGTTAGGCTGGAGCTGCCTCGCAAGCCCGCGCGCCCCCGCCTTCTAGGTCCCCAGCAGCCAGCTTGATTCCCGAGAGCGTGACAATAGCCGCACGCGGCCCGGCAAGCCGGCTGCACCGCAAAGAGTTCTGCGGATCGATGTCGGCGGGAAGGGCTGCGCACGAGTGGCCAGCGCGGGTCTGTCCCCGCGACACGGCCACCTCCACGCCGTCAGCCCCATCAGGAGGCGCCCAGCAAACAGGTCGCCGAAGCCAGGCATAGAGGCACATTGTTGGCGCTTACCTCGGTGTGCGAGCGCGCCCCGGGGGAGGGCCGAACTGGCGCGGGGAGCCGCGCGGGGGACACCGGCGAGAGAGAGGGGCCGAGGAGGGCGGCGCGGGGTGCTCCGGGTGGCCGAGCGCGCGCGGGGAGGCGGCGGCCGCGGCTGGCGGGCCGGACACGGCGCTGCGCGGCTCTTCGGCGTGTCCTCCGGCTCGAGTCTCCACCGCGGTCAGCCGCCGAGTCCAGCCAAGCAGCCCAGCGGCCCGGGCGGCTGCCGGGAGGTTAAGTCAACATCTTCCCGCAGTTTCCCACACGCTGCTCCGCGACACCGGGGGGGGAGGGAGGGGGGAGCTTTGACCCCACTCGCGCGCGCCCACCGATGCACGCTCCCTTCGGAGCCAAAAATCGAAATTCAAAACCAAAAGATGCGGAGATGAGAGAGCGAGGCTGGCGGAGGTGCGCAGACCCGGGAGTCCCCTAGCAGTGGCGGGAGAACGGCCGCCGGGGAGCGAGGCCAAGTCCGTCAGTCTGTCCGAAGACCCGAGCGCTGGAGCAGCGCCGGCAGGACCTGCCTCCGGCGCACGCGCCGCCCCTGCGGCCTGGGGCACGACTCTGCCGCCGGCCCTTCTTCACGTGTCGGGTCTCCCGGCCTGGGTAGGGGGCTTCCGCGGATGCAGGAGGCGAGGAACTCGGGTGCGGGGAAAGCGACGGGAGGAGCAGGGCAGAGCTGGGCCGATGCACAACCGCGGAGGGAGGCTGGTCCCCTCAACAATTGCCAAGAATCCTCCGGTAAGCTCCCGATGGCGCTCGGGCACCTCTGCGTGCGTGTGCGTGTGTCTGAGTGTGTGCGTGTGTGAGTGTGTGCGAGTGGGTAGAGAGAGTGAGAGCTGGAAGAGAGCGAGGAGAGCAGGGAGCGAGAGGCGGGGGAGCCCGAAGTCCTGACACGGACTCAGCGAGGGCTGAACTGGAGTCACCTCCTGCCTCCTTCTCCTCCTTCTCCTCCTCCTCGTCAGTCCCCACCCCCAGCCCCCCCCCACCCCGAGACTGCTAATCATATAAACATATGAGCGCGCACCGCGGCGCAGCATCCGTTTCTCCCTCCCGTGTTTGCCAGCCGAAGGGCTTGTGCAAACTCCAAAGAAGACAAGCAGCTGAGTACAAAACGCGGAGCAGATAATCTAGACTCATTGCGCCCAATGGCCATTTTCCACTCCATTGGAGCAGCTGCGGCGACGGGGCGCCCGAGCGCTGGGCAGGAGGAGGAGGAGGAGGAGCGAAGGGGACACTTACAGGCGATCTAGCCTTTCGAGTGGTGGTGGCGACGGCCGAGCAGCCGCCCCAAGACTGGCCGGCCGGGACTCGGCCCGGTGGGGCGGCCGCGGGGCTTTCCGGGAGGCGCTGGTGGCGGTGGCGGCGGGGGACGCGCGCGCACGGCCGCGGAACGCGCCCTAGAGGCGCCCGCGCAGGCTCGGCCCCCCACTTCCTCCCCCTGCCTGTCGGCAAGCGTCCCCTTCCCACACACCCCCAGCCAGGTCGCGGGGTTCGCTATCCAGCCTTCACCCTCGGCACTCCGCCCCCCGAAACTCCACTCACGGCGCGCCCGCTGCACGCTCGGCAGCCCGCGCGCACACACGCACTTTCCAAACGTCGCTTTTATTTCGGGATCCCGGTGCAGGGGATCCGGGAGAGCTCGGCATTCCGGCGGCTAGGGCCGCTGGGGCCTGCAGCTCGGGACCCCGCTCCCAGTTTCCCTTTTCCCCTCCCGGCCCAGGAGCTCACTCCTAGCCAGTACTGCGCCCCGGCGCTCTGGACGCGTGTTTTACCCACCCCGTCTCCAGGTTTTCTCAGCTCCGCGCGCCCCGAGCCGGAGGCCCCGAAACTTTTAGTTTCCGCAGCCCTCCTTTTGTGTGACTGCTCGCTGGAGAAAGGAGGTCTGTTCGCCGCGGCTGCCTCCGTCCGGCTGCGGCGCGCAGGGGACGCTCCAGGGCTAATGCGTCTTTGATACCTGAGATTTCCGGCGCGCTCGTTAACGAAAGTTACATTTTTTTTTAATTGCGATGACTTTTCTTTGTAGTTACATAGAGCTAGCTAAACTTTGACTTTATTGACTATATTTCACAAGAGCTTTCTGTTTGTTTTTGATTAAACTCACCAGGATATGCAACGGAAGGAAAAGAGACTGCAAGGTTTTGCTCGCTAGAACATTCATAGTCCTCCTAGGTCTGGTTCCCCCGTTTCCTTATATTGAATATGCTCTTGTCCTCTCTGCTGACAGTGTCAGCAAAGGACAGAAACAAGCCACAACAATGTCATGCTAGGAGAAAATAAATAAATAAATAAAGATTAAACGTTTAAAAACTGAGTAAACGTCATTGCCTGGAAGCTAAAAACTAAACTAAAATCAAATCAAATCTGTTTTTTTTTTAATTAGAAGATTTCTGAGCAGAAAGCAGTAGGTTTTCCAATGTATTCATAAACTACTGTGTGAGCTAATGAATGCAGCCATTTGCCTTCGAAAGGCTGATTCTCCCAAGTTTGAAACCTCTAGAAAACTGGGTGAAATTTGAGCTTGTTTGCTTTCAGAAACAATATGTACTTTTTGTTACAGCGGGTATATTGCAGTCACCACACTTCGGAAATCATTCCAAACAATGTTATTAAAATGTCAACAGGAGATTGCACTGAAGACTTGAAGATTCTGAATATCAATTAGCATTTGCATTTTGTCACAGAGCCAAATATTTGCAGCACTAAAGTCATTAAAATACTGGTCAAATGCGTTCTTGATTGTACAAAACCTGAAGATAAATGTGCATATAGCTCAGATTAGAAAGAGACTTTCCTATGATCCCGTTTCTTCTACTGTTGTTAGGGTGCTGATAAAACGAGCTACCTGGAGCACTTGCCCTTTAAAGTACAGACACTTTCCACTTGGAATTCCTTAGATAAATCAGTTCAAATTGCCATCTGTGCAGAGTTAAAGTAGTCTGGAAAATACACACCTTTGCAGAGCTCTTGCAAAATATTACAGGGCGCTGAAGTTTTCCCAATAGTCAAAAACTATACGAAGAGCTGGTCCACCTAGGAGAATTAAGTCTGCCTACTTAAAGCAGCTGAAAAGAAAAGCAGACCAATGCCTCTCAGACTTCAAAGATCATTAATATCACATTCTTTTTTTTTTAAAAAAAAAATGTTTTATTTGTGAGTGTGAAACACAGTATGTCAAACTACTAATAATTTGCATTTGCCAGAAAAATGTAGCCCTTTCCTTTGTTCGGCTTTGAAGGTTTTCATTCATCTGGCCTGATTCACAGGAAGCCCCAGTGAGTGCACAGACCCGTCTAATCCTGTTTTCTTTGGGGAAGCAAAACTTAGCCTGAAGTTTTTATTTAGTGAGCTTAGTAAGTAATCAATAGACATTTTTGCCTGAATTAAGCTGGCCATATGTTGGCTCATTTATTTAATTCTCTCAGAAAGAATTTCTCAAAGAAACCACTGTCTACATTTCATAGGTCTGATACTCTTTGAAGCCCAGGACATAAAGTGAGTCACTCTCCACTATGTTTCTAAGGAGACAACATCACACACACACACACACACACACACACACACACACACACACATCCTTAGCAATGTCTCTTCCCCAATATGTCTTAAATATTAAGGAATCTTTATTGTTTCTCTCTTGATTATATAACATAATAGTTGAACTTTCTGTGTATGTACAAGGAAGAATTGGCAGAGCAATCAATTCAATATTTCAGTCTTGAAATATTCAAGATTAAGCTGTTAGCCACAGCCTGACATTGAAAAGGAACAGTTATGTGATACATTCCACAGAGCCTGTTCACATCCAGAAAACATAGTTTACCTGACGCTTCATGACAATTCAGAACACAAGCTCTAGCAATACAGGTGTCATGGTAGTTTAAAAAAAAAGAGTGAGTTGCTAAACAGCATCTACAGATGTAAGGAATGTCAAGGGAATTGGGGTGTGTTATTTGTTACTAAAATCCAATAGATGCAACTACTCAATTTATATTATTATTTAAGTAATGTCAAATCATTGACTTCTTCATTATAATTGCTAATTGTTTTTTAATAGATTCTACAAAGGAGACACCCATTTCCATTTGTTTTATGTTAAATCAACATCTAACCACTCATGGTGACTTCATTCAAAGCAAACAGAAGGGATTCATTAGCTCATGTGGTTGGAGAGATTGATGGGCTTCAAGCATCTTACCATACATGTTTTCCCAACTGTAGAGATGCATGTTTTTAATTTAAACAACTTCAAGAAACTAGAGATCATTTTATTCAATAGACTCATGTATTTCTGATACCAAAATCACGTTAATTTTCAAAGCTATTTGCCATCCATGTTTCTTTGTTTACAAGGAAGCAATCAGGTACTTGTCAAAATACAAGTCTGAATTGTAACAGTTTAGGTAACAAGCTAGTGGATTTGAAGAAAAATGAAGATGGACAAAGTGGCAAAATATGATGATTGGTATAAGCCGGTAAACCCAGCTGCTAGCTTCTTCATTGACCTGCTGGAGCAAACTTGAGTATAAATTAACCAAATCTAAAGGGGACTGCAACAAGACCCTGGAACTTGACAGCGTCAAACTGCATGAAGACTCAGAACTGCCCCACTGAAGAGAACCATCTCAGAGAGAAAGCTGGGTCTGTGATCAAGAATACATGTTTACCTGAGAAGTTGAAAAAAAGTACAGAAGAAACCAGGCATAGTAGTGACACCTTTAATCCTAGCACTTGGGAGGCAGAAGTAGGCAGATTCCTATGAGTTCAAGGCCAGTATAAACTACTCAGTGATTCCCTGGACAACCAGTGAGTGATCCCGAGTGTGACCTTGTCTCAAAAACAAAACAAAACAAAACAAAATAATAATAATAATAAAATACTTTAAAAGTTTTAAAAAGAACAAACAAAAAATTTGTAAGACTACTCCACTTTCTAGTAAAAGTAGGAAAAAAAAATAATTAGGTTATAGCCTAAATTGGACTTGGTCCTCTTCTTGATCATTACTATTTGGTGCTTGGGGGTGAAGCTAGGCTCCCTGCTCTAGATAGCCCCCACTCTAGAGGAACTCAATGCAGTGAGAGTCATGAATTTAACTAGAACTGGTTGAAAGTTACTGGCTTTTTTTTTTTTTTTTTTTTTTTGCCTTGCTATGCATGGAGCTAAAATGAAATCAAAACTCATTTTCCATGAGACCAGAAACATATGAAAGCATTTGGCAAAGCCAGTAAGTTTTTAATTATTCTCTCAGCTCTCTGGGCTCAGTAAATTTTGCCCAAGAAGGCCAAACCTTACCTAAAAGAATTCAAGACAGTTTCAAAATTCAGAGTAGTGAAAAGCATAATATAAATATGATTATGGTATGCTATGCTTAATGATAGTATTTAGAAGATACAATCATATGCATTTTAAGACCATCATTTTATAATTAATACTTAAAAAAAATCCACCCTTATAAGTGGCTGTAAGAGTTTTCCTATATGTGTCAAGTGTTTAAATGTGCATAGCTATCTGTAAAGGATAATAAAGTTTTATACCGTTACAATTATGAAACTTGAAAGCAAGCAAATTAAAAATTATATCCCTTATAATCATTGTTCTACTGGGTTTCTCATAAGTCAGTCTTTCTTTTCCATAGATTGTTCCCATAATCTTGTTAATCTCTGCACTGTGAGGCTTTTCTCTAATTGGGCCTTATAGATCTTCTTCTATCAATGCTTCTGTCAAACCAAGGGTAACCGCACTGGTTTAACAAAACCCTCCGTCCGAACCCGCAGTCATCATCGTGTTCATGACACACATCCTCAAGCACATCCTCTTGTTAATGTGTAGGTTTTGAAATGAACAGTCTCCCATTCTTTTTAATGTGTATACACTTTACGACTGTCAACCATGAAGAAGAGATTTCTTTAGGTTTCTTTAAAATTCTTGAAGTTAAACCAAGATGCAAGTCTCTGCATGTGTCATTCCTGCTAAATTGTCATACACACATCACTTGGGTGCAGAACAAAAGCAAAGAGATGTTGAGCTGTGGCGGCAGCTCCATGCTGAACAGCAGCCCTCAGAACCCTCGCTATGGGATTTGCCATGGCTCCTGGAATGTAACTTTGTCTATTCGTATTGCTGCCCACTGCAGTATGACTGAACTTGCTAAAGGCTCTAAGAGTCAGAATGCAAACTCACAGATGCCCCCTGTGAATTCTAGAAGGTCAAAGATATCATTCTGTAGTTTTTCTGATGTTTTCAGAATCAAACTAAGCTCTTACAGCTCTACAACATGAAATAGTTGTACTAAGAGTTTTACTTTTTTTAAAGTAAGTAAGATTTATTTCGCTTTTTAAAATGGTTTAAATTGTGAAACATGATGCTCTTTTACTCTGGCTTTGTTTGATGTTATGATTGATTTTACTAATACTAAATTTTCCATGTTTTATTTTCTTATTAATATAACTGTTATTTTTCAACTCTATTATATTTTGAGACAGGATTTCAGGTAGCCCAGGTAACCTCCGACTGAATGTGTAGCTAATGGCTGCCTCAAACTTGCGACCCTTCTGCCTCAGCCCCTGTACTTGTGTGAACCACCATGCCCCTTTTATGCAGTGCTGGGTGCTGAGCCCGAAGACTCCTGAGCGCTAGGCAAGAACTCTCCGAACAGAGCTACAAAAGCAGCGCTTTTGTTTTTCAAGATACTTATCTTTTTTTATTTTGGTAAGAAAAAATTTGAGCACGTGAGAGCCTCAATAGTTATTTGCAAAGTCAAGTCCTGTGTTGATTCTTGATGCTATCATATAGTTTCTTGATAAGATATTAAAATGTTCCCATCTTTCCACAATAATTTAAATCATTCCATTGAGTTTTCAGCCCATTGCAACTCTTTGCAGTTCATCACCTAAGCCTTAGACTACACAATGACATTGTCAGCACATGCTTTTGTGATACATGAAACTATATTAGGAAAGAATAAATTTTTCTCTAAAACTAATACTGAAATTTAGAAACATAATGAATATTACTTGCATCTCTGAAATTGTGCAGTAATGATGGGATTTTATTTTGTGAATATTTTAAGTATTTTGATTTTTAAAAATATCTTTTTTTTTTTTTTTTTTTTTTTTTTTTTTTTTTTGCTTTAGGTTAAAAGTAAAGCACTATTATAACCCATGCAGCCACCGCACATGAAAAAGGCCCTGCTGCACTCTTGCCTGGAGAAGTATTCTACGGATGCTTTTGTGTGTTTCTCTGAATTATCTAGCCTCTAATTCAATTGTCCTTCCTACCAACATCATAGATTGCAAGAGATCTAAAACAGATTATCAGTGTGCCAAGAGTCCTTCGTCTTCACTATGGAGATGTAATTATGGCGCCAACTTAATTACTACTGTGTCCTTACTACTTGAATTAATGGCCCAAATGCAAACCATGTATTTTAAATTGTTCAGACGATATAGATTGTACTGCAAGAAAAACTAATTTCCTGTTTGTTATCTAATGGTAATTGAAACACAATAATTCATTATGCTACTAGGTTATTGTTGTATATGAAGTGACAAGTCTCAGAGATAAAGGTGGTAGATATAATGAGAAAAAAAACAGTTTTTAAAAAACAAAATCAGAGAGAAGTTGAATACAAATGTCTGCTATAAAATATAAATGGACAAGGAACCCAAGATTGAGAATTGTTTTTAAATAATATGAATCCCAAGGGAATATTACTTCTTGGGATGCTTTTGTGTGTTTTTCTGTATGTGTGTATGCAATAAATAAATCTACATGTTTTCAAATAAAGAATTTGAGAAATACCTGAGATAATGAAATTTGACATTTTCATGCCATTATTCAATGTGTACTTTCTCTCCAATGCCCTATTGTAAAATGATTTTAAAGTTTATGTACATATACGCATATATGCATATGCACAATAAGCTATATTATGAGGTATAGATTCAAGATGGTAAGAATGGTGTAGGCTTATGTATTGACATTGTGTAATGTCAAAAATAGATACTGAATTAAGTATTTAGAAAACTGCCTTTAACTACTTGAGTAAATTTATAGGTGTTTCAAAATCAGTTATAAAATATTGTCCCTCAAAACGGAAGCAAGTTTATCTTTGCTTAAACTTTCCAGTTAACGAAAGAAATGTTTAAGTACTCTATAGTTAGATTATTAGCATCTACAAAACTGAAACAGATGCATGTCTTAATATACCATTAAATTTATGATATACATAGAACCCTTACGTAGAACTGATGGAAGGCTGGTACCTCTAATTTGCTCTAGATTTATACTAACCTGATCTGGTTTTCGTAAGTACTGAAACCCTTTAAATAAGATTAGAAAGCAGTTGTGCCCTGTGTGATTAAAGATGCAATTCCCATTGGGGTAATGAGAAAAGTTAGAACATGTTTCTTTCTTTATGGGTGTTTCTATAATAAACAAGACTGCCGTACATTATATATTTTTTGTTATTATGATTTCCTTGTTTTTAATTATAAAATAAACCAACTGAGTTTCAATGGAGTCTCAAAATGAAACTGTGCCAAAATTGAGCTGAAGAATGTGCACTGAACTTCATAAAAATCCTTAAAATTGTTCCCAGGGTTTTGAGGTCTTGGGGTCTTATTGTACAAATACTAGTTCATGATTTTCTAGTGCAGAATATTGTCTTGATTTAGACCTGTACAAAAGAAAATCTTGCAGGCCTGATACACTTTAAACCTATACAATGACATGAATAAAACTGTTCATGAGTGATGATTGCTGGATTCATATAAATTACAAACAGAAAAAAAAAAAACAGGCTCTTTTATCTCTTACACAAATAACATTTGCAGCATGATTTAAAGGTTCATTTGGTAAACTGCAATATATCACCTTCTAAGCCTCAAATCTGTAAGAATGTTTTGCTTTAAATAATGAGAACACTGTTTCCTTAAAAAAAATCAGTCAGAAAATGTTAATACAAATATCAATATAAGCATATATGTATATATTTGTGTATATACAAAATAAGTGCATACAAAAGTATTAATTCATTAAAAGTTTATCTCTCATAAAAACTTTATTAGCCCTTGAAGTCTTTGTCACTTCATATAAAATGATTTATCTTTTGAATAACAAGGTTTCATTAATCTGTTTGACAAAGGAATTTTTGAATCATGTAAATAATTTATTTGGATGAATTATTTAAGTTCTGTAAAATATATATGTGAACACGTGTATGTATATATCCATATCTATGTATCCGTGTTCTAGGACAATATTGCCGAGACAATACTGTGTAGGGTTCTGATGCCCTGTCCTTGACATCAAAAGTGTGGCTTGGTGTGGCTGCCGTGGAGGAGGTCTTTGATCACCCACTGCTACCGCAAGACCCCTGGTAAGAGGCCATTTGTGCGCCTTTTGGCAGCGCATGATGCTCTCACGTCAGAGAAACTTACACATTATTTTCTGTATTCATTTTCAATTTTGCATTTTGGCTGAAATTGTAGGCTGACATAATTTTCGACATGTAAGGATAATAAAGGCAATTACTGGGCCGTCATAGAAAACTGCTTTCCTCAGTGTGCTGCTGTAGGTGCTACTAGAGAGTGGCAAACAGTGCCCTCCCCAGAAAATAAGTTATCTGAACAGATATGCCTGCAAGAGCAGTAACAACAGACAGCAACCAACAGTGTGAACAGTACACAAAGCCAAAAGGACAGGAGGATGTTTCTAGTATGTTCAACAGGCATGCCATTCAGAAACTCTCACTGTCCACTATTTCTTTACAGACTAGTCACATAAATTATTCACATAATTTTTCTCAACTTAGTTGTTTTTTTTTCCTCCAAAGATGTGTGTGTGTGTATGTGTTTCACAAACAATGCAAACAATTACCACAAATTTGGAAAAGTTACAAAATGTATTACAGCTTCTTATCGATTTTAATTTTAAGCATGCAAGAAAGTTAGCATTTGAATCAAGTCTTTCCTCCGCCAAACATATTTATTCTCTTTTGCCCGCTATATATGTCCCTGCTATGATAAACTCCATCCTGTTGGATGTTCTTTATTTGTTTTCTTTCTTTCTTTATATTCTGTAGGGTACTCTTCTCCCTGTTTTCCTCGTTTAGGGTGAGTTAATTTAATTTTCATTTCTGTTTCAGAGCACAAACCTCTTAACACACTCTTTTGGCTTTCCACTTGTCAGAGAGGTCTTAATTTTACACATAAATTGCATTGCATTATTGTGGCATTTGGTAAACTTGCAAGTGCCTGTCTCTCACTTATAGAAAGCCCACCTGTAACACTTGCCACTTCACACTTGTTATCTGCTCTGCTTAAAGCCCGAGAAAGACTAGGGAGCCGCCAGCATATAGTTGTAAAAAGGCATTGTCCTAACAAAGTTAGACTATGACATCCTGGTGTGACAACAGTCCTGAAAGAAGTCTTTATTTTTAAAGTATACATTTATAAATTAAGAAGAAGCAAAGAAAGAGAAAGTAGGAAAGAAACCACCACTCAGGAAGTTCTTCTCTGACAGCACTGACCTTTTGCCCACATCCTGGGATGGAACCTAGAGCTCTTCCCTTCTATGCTTTAGGCCAGCTCTTGGCCTCTGAGCTATATCCTCAGTCAATTCACATTTTGTAGACTTGACTCCAAACTCTACATAACATAGGAAGTAGTAGGATTACCTACCGCTCAGAATAGCATGATGTGCACCAACCATTGAGGTAATTTGGAAACACGTCACCTGGTCTCAGAAGTCTTCAGCAGCTGTAGTTGTTGCTTGTGGAATAAATGTGGAGTTACACTATATGGTTTAGGTCAGTGTGAAGGTTATATGGTTCATACATGACAGCACTTTAGCTGACACAGATATTAGAAGTAACATAACCCAGAAATCTTGCAAGAATATATTTAAGCATACATACCATTGTTACTTATTAACAAATGGAATAAATTTACTTAAATGGCTTGTTTTAGTCAGTTCATTGAAACATTTTTGTAAGCTATTTGTAAATTTTCACGTAGTGGTGATTGCAATCAAAATTTGAGTGATTTCCAAAAATTAATTCAATAAAAATGTTATAGTTGAATGTGTATGGTTTTTTTAAGTAAAGATAATTACAAATAAGGGCAATTTGTTAAGGGGGTTTCTAGTTTCTGCTATATTAATTTATCGTTTGTATGCATATGCATATGCATGTCCTTCTCTCTGTCTCTCTCCGCCTCTGTCTGTATCTCTGTGTCTCTCTGTCTCTGACTGTGTGTGTGTGTGTGTGTGTGTGTGTGTGTGTGTGTGTGTGTTGAGAAGATGAGAAATCACACAACTAAGACAGTGCTTATTGAACCCTGAGTTCAGCAAAAATGGTAGTGGCCTTACCACTTCACAAAGAACAGCCATTCTCCCTCGTACCCTTCCTGTCTCCGTGACTGTCATGACACAGGGGAACCTCGGATATTGGACTCAATGGGACTTTTCATGGTTTCTGTTTTTAACCCCAACACTCAGGTTTATTTATTTATAATTGTATTTATTTTATGTGCTTTGGTGTTTTGTCTGACACTGTGAGAGTGTCAGATCGGGGAGTTACAGATAGTTGTGAGCTGACATGTAAATGCTAAGAATTGAATTTGGGTCGTCTGGAGGAGCAGTCAGTGCTCTTAACTGCTGAGCTACCTCTCCAGCCCCTACTCAGGTTTTATTTGAAGACAGAACATTTTTGACAAATTGTAAAGATGCTAAAGAGCATCATACTCCCATCTTAGCTCACTATTACTTCCTAAATTGCCAAAGCCAGAAACTTTACCTCTGGGAGCCAGAAATGCTTTTTAACTATTTTTTTCCAGACCACTAGAAATTGTGTTACTGTTATCTTAAATAGAAAAATAATTAATGGACATTTCCAGAGAAGCAGACATTGTTCTGTCAGTTGACATGCTGGTTTTGTTACAATTCTTGGTTTTGCATTACAGCTTCTTCATGAAATTCTCCTGAAATATAGTCCATCATGTCAAGAAAACCATACTGACACTCCCTGTACTTGTCTTTGATGATTGGGAATTTTGGGTCTTCAAGAACTATTATGACTATTATGTTGCCTATGACTCATCTCTGTCTATTTTGATTTAATTTGTTCTTCACCCCAAGAGCTTCTTAGACTGTGTTACATATTATCAGCTATTAGTGTAGCAATCCTCAGATGTTACAAACTATTGGACAGTTTGTGTGTGGCCAACAAATACAGTTTGCTTGCCCCATCAATATAGCATCAGGTAGACTTTTGGGTTTTAATCTGTCATTTGTCAACTTAAAAATGAGATTGGGGGCTGGGAATATAGCTCAAGGGTAGGACACTGACCTAGCACATGCCAGGTCCTAGTTTGGGGGAACAATTAAGAGATTATGTATTTCCAGCTTCTGGGGCTTGGGGCAAAGGTAACTGAGAGCATGTGATATTCTTAAGCTCACAGCAACCTTGAGTAGGGGAGGTTTCTCTTGGCAAACAAATGTGCAGGCACCAACCTACAGCGTTCTCCATGAATCCTATTGTCCCCTCCAGACCTAGCAAAGCATTTCCTGCCATGTGTTACCTAGTTTCTGCTATTGTTTCCTGTTCTTTTAGGACGGCATTAAAAGAAACAGAAGTGCATCTTGACCCATGCCTCAATGTGTGCAAAGTGGGAAATCTGAGCAACAGGGCTGTTTGGAAGCTAGGGAGAGAAGGTAAGACAATTGCAAGCCTGAGGACCTAAGTGGGCCTTCAGAAGGCATATAAACACTGGCATAACAGTACTATGTGTTTGCAATCTCAGTGCTGCAGAGGCATAGAGCAGGAGCCCTGCAGAGCCTTGCTAGCCAGCCAGTCTAGCCAAATTGGCAAGCTCCGTATTCACAGACCCACTGCCTGAAATGGAGCACTGACAGTGACCTTTGGCCTCTAGTCACACACATTCACACAAACACACACAGCTACACATGTCAACGTAAGCACACACATGTACACATACAAGCACCCAAGGTCTTTAAAGACTTTTAACCCACTTTCCTTCATGCATTTCCTTTTTCTTCCAGGAACCTATGAGCATCTTAGCTTTAAGCATCAGTGGACACCATTTTATCTTCGGAACCAGCATGTGAATCTCATGAAGAAATGTACTAAAGAGAAGCAAACGTGATTTCCTGTGTTCAAGGGCTCACATGATACTGACACATTTGTACTCACAATTCATGCTGTGAGGCTTTCTGCTTACTAGTTGCCTTAAGTTCACTCTCCTCAGTTTTCTCCTGTCCTGAAGGCTGTTGCCCCCACCCCCAGCCCTCTGATGTCTTCTCCTGCACTGTTTTCATTCTTTGACTACTTTGGTTTCCCTCTGTGTTTATCACAAGCAAATGCTATTTGTCATTATGTTTGCTTCAGGTCATACCCCATAATTATGTTTCACCAACGGAAGACACATGAAAGAAATCAGACACTTCCACCCAACAAACAGAAGCAAACAAGCCTCTAAAGGATTATTACAAACTGCAGAGTTTAGTGGCCATTGCTTAACAAATGAGTAAGTATCATGGCAAAAACAGCTAAACACAAAATGTTGTAAGGCAAACAAACTAAGTTTTCACTTAAAACCACAAGTAATTGATAGCCCCACCCATACTAAGAGTCTATTTTTCAAAGGACAGTATTTACTTAGAATCCAGACAACCTACAGAATCTGAGTTAAGAATAATTTTCAATATCTCAATTCAGGATGTTTCCTGTTTGCATCATTGATGTTACTTTTTTTTTTTTTTTTTTTTTTGGCTTTTGGCTTTTGGCTTTTGGCTTTTGGCTTTTGGTTTTGAGACAGGGCTTCTCTGTAGAGCAGGCTACCTTGAATTCAGATCTGCCTGCCTCTGTCTCCTGAGTGTTGGAATTAAAGGTGTGCACCACCATTGCCAGGCTGATGTTACTCTTAATTTTATTTTATAGTATCTGTTTCCCAGTACAGATTTCTAGCAGGTTAAGACAATTTCTCATGGGATGTTATTGCATCAGGTTATAAGATGGAAAAATGTGATCATCATGAATTATTGCACAAGATGAGAACTATGTGAAATATGTTATAAAAGGCACTTATAAGATAGATATACATACATGTATATATTTATACATATTTATACATATGTACACACACACATGTAAAATTTGGTGATCCTGGAGATTAAGCCAAGAATCTCACATGTATTAAATAACCTATTTTCCGCTGAGCCAAATCATAGATTGCTGGCTCACAAAATACCTTTTATAACATGTTTAAATATAATATCATTTCTAAAAATTTATATTTTGTAGTTCTGTTGGAATATTGTTCTCTTCAAACAGTTCTACCAACCTTTAATTAATTGGCATTTTCCTTAATTTTGTTTCAGAGCACATGAATACTTGCCAACTGTTTTGTCAAAAAATTACCCAGCAGGTTCACCATTAAAACTTTATTAGGACAATTATCTTGTTAACTGTTGGGTAGACTCCATTAATGGAAATCATTACAAATATCTTCCTGTTTAGAAAATGATATTGGCATCTATGATTATGTTGGCCCAGTCTAAAGCAAATTGACCAAGAGTGATGGCTCATACTTGAATCCCAGGACTCAAGACAATGCTGAGGCAGGAGGATAAAGGAATATTCAAGACCAGCCTGGTCTACACAGTGAGTTCCAGGCAAGTGTAGATAGCTTCAAAAATCTGGACTGGGGAGACAGCTCAAAGTACAAAACACTTACTGAGCATGTGTATTCTGAATTCAGATTCCCCAAACCCTTATCAAACAAGGTGCAGCAAAGCCTGTCTGTAATCCCCAGGCTTCTACAGTGAGATAGGAAGTGGACACAAGAAACTTCAGGGCTAGCCTGGTCAATAGAGTGGTGAGAAACAGGAGACCAGGATCAAACAAGGAGGATGGTGAGAACCAGCACCCATGGTTGTTCTCAGATATCCGTATGTCTGTCTGCCTGTCTCTGCACTGTCTCTGTCTCTTTCTCACTTTCTCTCGTGTGCATGTGCACACATGAGTTTATTTTTTAAATTATCAAGATCCTGTCTCAAAGGAAATATTTCTTTTCATCACACAAGCCTCTTAAAAATGACACTAATAAAATTAAACTTTCATTAATTATAGTATTATATTTCTAGAAATTTCCATCTTATTTCTATTAATCTGACAAATTGAAAAATAACAGATAATAGGCTGTAGGTTGAATGAGTGATTTGACCCATTGCTTAGTTCATACAAAAAGAAAAAAAGAAAGACATGTTTTCTATCGTTCATAGTTCTTAACAGAATATGTATTTTAATGTAAAATTTCTTCTCCTGATGCTTCATAAGAACCGAGTGTGCCTACACCTGGCTGAATCCTTTACATTTATTTCTTAAATGCTACAGTTCAGTTGAGTCAGGATTTGGTAAATACCATTTGAAATCCCTTTGCTTTGCAGAAGTTTTAGAAACATGACCACCGACTTGTTTGGGTCCTCCTATCAAAGAAACCACTGATGCTGTTTCTCAAAATAAAAATTAAGTGTATGATTAATCAGTTTTGCTCACTCAAAAAAGGTCTATAGGAAAAAAAAAATTCCAAAATAGTCTCATGATATGAAGTGCAGGCCCACTTACCCTTGGTTAATCTTAATTTTAGGCTTTTGTGTTCTTGCCCCGTTGTTGAAGAGCATCTTCCTCTGCCTCCCTGGCTGCCCTGGAGTGCTGGGATTAAAGGTATTCACCATGATACCATCAAGCCCCGTTCTAAGCTCTCTCTTTCTCTCTCTCCCTGTCTCTCTGTCTCTCCCTCCCTCCTTCCCTCTGTCCTTCCCCCTCTCTCCCTCTCTGTCTCTACTTCTTCTTCCCCTCCCCCTCCTTCTGTCTCCAAGAGTCTGGTGCATGCTAACTGTGTGTTCTAACACTGAGCCAAGTTTCCCTTTCAGCTTTCCAAGAGCAGCACAAAGGGGAAGGCTCTTGAAAGATTGCCAATACTGAGAAAAAGCATAGTGAGACCAGAAAGAACTCACAGAGTCCAAAGCTGGTCAGTAGCTCATCCTTCATACCTGGCCCTGACTACTTGGGTCTTTCTCTGCCCTCTCCTCCCAGCATCAAGTAACAACAATCCAGTGTTACCTCTCTCACAGAGACGTCCTTCCTTCTCAATTCTGATGCCCCAACCAGGACAACTCCTCAAAGGGGAGTTCAACCGTGTTAAAGCTAAATCACCTCAGAATCAACCTCACTCTCCCAACTCCTCGTTCTAATAAACATTTTTATGAAGAAGAAGAGTCTCACAGTCTCTAGTAAGTATTGGAGGAGGATAATGAAAAATCTTCTGTGGAATGTCACAGGTTTTCACCAACAGTTTTAGCCATACATTGTAGGGCAGAAGATAGAACCACATCATTTGTGGACCAACATTCCCTTCCAGACAAAACAACCAACTTAGGAGAGAAAGACCTCAGGCCACCTGTGCATAACTAAAATATACTATTCGTTAGCAGGTGGGCTCCAAATGCAGAGTCTGACTTATAATTAATTTTTGAAAGTCTAGCCATGCTCTGTAGATACAAATAAATTTTGCAATTAGAATCAGTTCCATTGTTGGCATATTGCAGGAATAAATTAATGTGATTTCTTGAGCCACTTAGAGATACTTTTTTCATAGACTGCCCACTTTGTGTCTCCGCTGGGTTTAATTGGGGTGGAAGTTGGGGCCAGGTCAAGGGAGGAACACTAGCCAAGCATCCCCTAGGTCCCAGATGCTGGGCAGACATCTTAAGGTCCCTTTATATCGGGCTGCCGTTTTGCTGCCCTTTGCTGGTAGTTCAGGATCTGTATCTGTTTTCATCTACTGATGCCCAAGCACAAGCAAACCAGCTATGCATTATGAAATATTTTGTTCTTTCCTCTATTTTAATCTTCCTCCTGGAAGGCAGGAGTCCTGGGATAAAGGAGAGACTAGCACAAGACCCCTGGCTTGAGCTCTGCCTGCTCTTTCTAATCCCGCTTATAGTAGGTGTTCTTGCCTGGAATGGTTTGCTTCTAGATCCAAGAGAGCTCTGTGTTTCCCATCATCGCCTTACATGGAAGGGCGCAGACTCTAAGTATAAATTCTTCTGAGCAGTGAAGCTAGATTTTTAAAAAGTATGTTTTTCAGCCTTGGCAGTGAAGTCTTTGGCAGTTGTGTGGCCCAGAGGGAACCAGGCATAGAGTAAAGTCAAGCCAGGTATGTTGCGCCTGCCTGCACCTGCTTCTGCTGTACCCCACTGTCTGGATTCCAAGTCCTGTGCACTGGGCTAGGATAACGTGGGAATGGCAGGTGTGCATGGGGCATCTGCCTGCCCATCAGCGCTGTGATAAGTGGGGAAACTGTAGCAGAGAAACATTAACTTGCCTAATTATAAACAAAATATTAGAAGCTGCATCTTTGAGTGTAATTCCATCCTGGTACAGGTCTTTACAGTTTTCACAAAAGCTTTTCCTCCAAAAAGCAGCCTTACACAGCAGCTAATCTATCAATTAGAAACAAGCATGTTCGCTGTGATTCAGGTGAGACAGCATCAGCCGTGGCGGCATCCTCATCCCCTCTAAGGCTCACTCAGAGATGGAAACCCGGTGACCTACAAAACGCTGCACCCTCAGCCCCACTCTGTGTTCTTCACCTTGGTAAATAATTCATTCTACAAACATACCGGGTAGCTATTGAGCGCTAGACTCGAGGAATACAGAGATAAATAAATACTGTCTGCCCTCAAGAAGATTGAAGGGAGGGAGAACACGGGGAGGGATGGCAAAGAAAACAGCCACTAACGTGGCAGGATCCTGAGCTGAGGCCGAGACACCTGTGAAAGAAAGGAGGGATTGGCCCTTTAACTGTTGAGGGAAGTAAAGTGTGAAGTAAGGGTTGCCTTGTCAAGCATCTCTTGAGAACTGCAAAGAGAAGTAGCACCTGGTTTCAGGAATGCCAAAACCTAGGGGTTGCAGCCCCCCCCCTCAGTTTGTTGTAAATCAACAAGCGTATAAACATGCCTCTATACATAGTAGAATTTAAAATGCAAATGGCTTCAATGAACAGGAAAAACTCCACAGAAACCCACTGGGTTACACTATTAAAAATCATCACCATCGTAATACTGTCCTACAGAACCACTATTACACACCTACTATCTGTGCCCCTTTTCCCAGGCTCTTTGAGGCACAAGGGTAACCTGCTCAGATTTCCACTCTGCTGAAGTAGAAGCAACCCTCCGGACTATTCATAGAGAATAGAGCGGTGTGGA